GGCTAGAGAATCATAATGCACTTTTTAATAACTTTGCCGACCAAAGGGACGAGCCGGTCCTTTATAATGACCTCTCTTTGGCTACTCAAGGTCAGAAATCCCCCCAGGAATTCTATGACCATTGTCAGATCTTGTTTAGCACCATTATGACCTATGTGAGCCTGCATGAGAACATAGCCACTACCATAGAAGCTAAACTCATTGTGAGTTTGTAAGAGGGCTACAGGAGCCTCTTGGCTCGCGTATTCGGTGCATGAGAACTGAAACTAAAGGCTTTAGAATATGTTCAGGATGGAATATATATTATGCATCTATTCTACACCATGCAGTATGCAGCGCAGTAATACTTATTTTTATCATACTGGCTCGGCGTTATCACCGTCGCAAAGAAATACAACAAGAACAACTCAAGATGACATCTGCTGCTTCGCAAGAGGAAGTATCTGAAACCCTCGGAGATCATATCTGCACCAAGCCAACTTCAGCAATTTTTGTCCTAAAAATATGAAAATGATTGCTGATCAGAGGGGAGTGCAATCCAACACTGCCACATTGCCGACATCATGATATATTAGGCAATCCAGTTAAAGGAACGGTAAGATGCATTTTGCGGAAATGTTATTTATTTTTTTACTATGTCTGGATGACTTAAAATTGAAACAATTTCATTTATTCTTCTTGACATGGATGGCTGGGATAAATGTGTGTATATATTTTTCCCTACGATCCTTTGGTAACTTCCATTTGCAAAATAATAAAGTGCACACAGTAACTGAAACAACATATTTTTTTATTAGTGTACAACATAGTATTAAGTATACAGGTTGGTTCAATTAGTGACGTCAACATTTTTTTTAGATTAATCGCACCTGGAGGTATCCGAAAATATCCCTTGTATGTTCCGCATTTTTTTTAAGTTTTCGAGTTAAATCCTTTTTTGTATTCCTAATGGTTTTTTTTAATAAAAGCACCCGCCATCGCTGTGTCTTGTTTGCTTTTCTGCGGACTCTAGGTCCGCACCTTTGTTATTTTGGGTATTTTTTTTTGATTGGTTTACTTATTCACTCCATATTATAATTACAATAACAATATCTTAAAACTATACATGGTTACTTATACTACTATAGACAATTTTATCATATTAATCGTAGTTAGGTTGTCACTATAAATATTCATTTTGCCTCGTTGATTAATTGTGCTTTGCAGTGCTGACAAAAGTTGCTAGCACTGCAAGCCATATTGTTTGGCGGTGTGCTGTACTTGACAGTGCTAGCCATATTGCACCGCAAGCCAGCACACCCCCAGCATGTTACATTAAACAATTGTTTATATTCCATATACGGTTTGAATTTAATATACTGGCATAGTTCTTTTAATCGAGTTTGGTAACAATCCCATGAAATCATGCATAAAGTGTAAAAATAAAGATTTGAAAGCAAAATAAAAACAAAATAAAAAACAAAACATAGATTAAAATTAAGAAAATTTTGTAAAAGTATATATTAAAAAGTGTTAATAAAATTATTTAATTTGATTATTGCGCTTTGCAGTACTAGCATCTCTACTAGCACTGCAAGCCATGTTTTTCGGCGATGTGCTGTACTTGACAGTGCTAGCAATATTGCTAGCTCTGCAAGTCAGCACAGCACCAGCGTTTTACATAAAAGAAAATTTTTGTTCTCGTGTAGTATTCCGGCATGGGAATTATATATATATGTGCACATAGGATTTTAAGTTGCTTCCCCCCCCCTCTCTCTTAGTTATCTCGTTTATCCTTTGACATTTGCTAGGATAACAACATGCATGCATGAAAATATAAAATATAGTAACATAATAATATACTAGTGTAAACATGCAAAAAGGTAAAAGGTAAACAATTAACAAATCCTCGAAAAATATACAGAATTAAAATTATATTAGGGTGTAAAAGTGTGTACAATCCCATAAAAAAGTTTAGTTCAAAAAAGTTAAGGAATACCAATTTTTGTTATTCCACGCATACGTCTCATCTTATCAGTTATCAATCCGAGGTTGTTTGTTTGTTCTTGGCCATGGGTTTCGGCACGACCCGGCGGTGGACTCTCCTACCGATATGCCGGCGGTCTGCATGAGGTTGCTCGCACCCTGTTGTCTCCGTTCCTCATGGCCACTTTGATGTTATAATCTTTGATTCTGCGGTCAGTAGCCCTCCCGGACCGATAATAATTCGCGCGATTGCGTCGTCTTCGATATCGTCGGTGTAGTATACACAGGTCTTAGTGTGTCTATAGCGGGCCACTACTGCGTGTGGGATACTCCTCAGTATCCTTTTCCTCCTCTGTCCTGCACTCACAATAATCACTGTCTCTCACGTTAGGCCTTGTGCCTCGTGGATAGTCAGGGTACGAGACTCGGAACCTTTTCCGTAGCCCCGGCTAATAAGGAGTTTCTTATCTGCCTGGGTGTGGACTAGGTACATGGTGTTGTCCTGGTTCGGAATCTCGGCCCCCGAATCCCCTTTAGCGTCAAGGAACGCACGAAATCACTGGAGAAGTTTATGCCATCATAGATCTCTCCAAGGGCATATGCCACGTCCTGCGGATTCCTGTGAGTGCAGAGCAGGTATCTTTTAGATGTTACGGTAATCGGTTTGGAATATTTAATTGTAAATAGGTTATGTCGGTCTATACAGGGTAATTGATTTTCGTCGCCTATCAATTGGGCTTTTGTTGCCCCCGTGATCTGTATGGCCATCACTATGTCGCCGAAGTGGTTCATGAGAGCCTCGTCCACCAATAGGCGGGTATTCCTAATGATTTCTGCCAGCGAGGTTTCAAAAATTCTAATCTTTTTTCGTAGTAGGTATTTTGCAGTCATTGTTTGTGATATAATTGTCTTGAATGTTGTTTTAATAAAAAAAAATAACTCAGCTTCCTGAAATTACTCAAAGTTAGTCAAAAAAGGCTTGAAAGTTGGAACTTTAGTTTTTAGTAGGATTTACTCAAACATTCAACTTCAATTTAGAAATACAAAAAAGAGTTTCCATAGCTTCTGGCTAAAATTAAAAACTCCGCATTAGAAGCATGCAACTACCAAAAATCGTTAAAAAAATCGTACTTAATTAGGCTATTTCTATTGTAATTGGCCTTCGAAGGCGGATAGGCTAAAAATCATTGAAACACGATTAAAGCATTAAAAATTATTTTATCTACTTTTTATCATTGTTATGGTAAATTAAACTTAAAAATGTTATTTCAAATTTAACTTAATTGAAATTATTGTAAAATAACTTTAGCATGTGGAATTTTATAATAATTTCGATTGCACCGCTAAGATTTAAAATCTTTAGGTAGACATAAGTTTTTGAATTATTAAATAAAAATGAGACCTACATTAAAAATACTTACTCTTAAAGATTTTATGTACTTATTCTATATACAAAAATCGCAATTTAATAACAAAGATCACCAAGGTATTTCGTTCACTAAGGTAGGTTATCACTTTGATTTCCGCAGCTGCCCACTAAGTACAGCCGAGGCGATATAGTTAGCCCGAGCTGTAGGTGAGGGCTATAAGAAGGCAGAGGCTGTAATTATCAAACCGCACGTATGTCATACGACGTTTTATAACACATTTGCGAGGAAATAATACTACCTATAAACCTTTCTGAAAATGATTTTTGCACCTTTGTTTGTTTTCCATAAGATGAAATTTTGATACGCTTGACTGTAAGTATCTATCCGTGGATTTTTCGGGCAAGAGGCCTTTTTCGACTTCTGGCGTTGTATAAAAACCATTCAGCGAAAAGAAAAAGAAATAACATTTTAACAGATTAGCGATGCGCGCGCATCAACGCTTTTTTAGGCAAAGGAAGATGTAATTTATTGTCAAAATGAATCAAATTAAGGAATTTAATATTTATATATTATATTTTATCTCCCAAAGTTAATTTTATTAACAATATGTTGGCTACCTTTCTGACATAAAAACTCTTTGCTAAGATTTAAAAGAGTATCGTTCGTTTTTAGACGGAACTAGGGGTGGTCGTATTTAGAATAACGATGCGCAATTACGATGCCAGCTTTGGATGCGCGCATCCGATGCCACTTGTTACCGTTATCGGATGCCGATGCCATCTAGTTTTTGTCGATATAGTGCCACAAACTTATCTGTGCTGGTGGAGATGTCGCTAGCGGTGAACAAATATCTCAAAATGCTATGGATAAATTGTAGTTCAAATTTTTGCCACCGGTATAGAAAAGTTTGTGCCACTGAAATGCGTTCAACGCTCTGAATGCAACTTTTTGATGTCAAGGAAAATAGAGAAATATACCGTGTTACTAGAGCTCATTATCATTAAAAATACCTCTAAAGTACCATGTAATTTAAATGCATATAAAAATAAGTTTTAAAGGAAATATTTAAAATAAATTAACCATGTTAATAATATTATTTATGTTGTTTTTATTGTCTTGAAAATAAATACATTCCGTTAAGTCCTCTATGTACTATGCATCTTGCTGGATCCATCATGCGGGACAATGTCATACGCGTTGTATGGGCAAACCCGTATGTTTTAGTATTTTGCTAATGTAGGCGCTGCGCGCGACTGTTATGCCTTTTATTACGTTAATTGTATAGTAGCAATTAATTACTCGTACAAACAATATCATCTTATCATTTATCAGAACAACATTTTTGGGACAGTTTTTCGGACACTACCATAACATTGTCAATCAACTAAAGGTGTCCCAGACACAAGTAAAAGAGATGGAGATACAGAATTTCTTTCACGTGAATAGCACTGTCCTGTATGCTGGATCCAGCAAGATGGATAGTGCGTAGAGGACTTTACACATAAACGTAAAAAGGTAGATAAATCGCAAACTACTGTGAAACAATGACACGGTAGTGTACATAAGACAGTGGTGTCGATTCTAACATGATTCTCTAAACCTAAACTTAAATTTGACAACAGTGTATCCTTGTCATTCTCTATATGGAATGAAAAGGAGAGACTGATGTTAAATTTAGTTTTGAGTTTAGAGAATCATGCCAGAATTGAAACCAATATTGTACTAAAAAAATAACAAGTCTTACTCAAACTTTCTATGACTAGTTGTTTTTTTAATATATTTTTTATCTTATAACTGTAGCTTTGTGAAAGCAAAACTTCCGATAATAAGTACGGTAATGTATATTTACCGACGACGAACCAAATTTAGATGCATCCACGGCAATTCAATTAATTAATAAATTACCGTGTATATGGTTACTATGGCGTAGCGCAAGGGAAATCCCTGCCGCGTCATAGACTAGTAACCTTGTAAGGCAGTCGACGTGCTAATTCGCAATTCCCATAGGTGAGCGAGATGAGACGATTGCGGGAATCCTATCACATCCCAGTACCAGTAGTAACTCAACATCTCTTGACGAAAAACTAAGTCTAACTAACCATTTTGTTGTTTACCTCCTTACGTACTACACCAATAAATAAACGCACGGTGAAGAATTTAATGAAAATGTCAAAATCACAACAAAATAATATTTGGGAGCATTATACAAGAAAAGATGTCTGTTTTGCGGTAAATACTGTAGTTAAAATATTAATCAGAAATCCACAACTGGTAATCTCACATGAAAAAAAAACATTTGGTTATCTTGTCAAGCGTGGAGCCTGCCTTGGTTAATACCAGCAATGATTATATACAACAACCACCATACACGATGTCAAGTAAAAGCAACGCGCCGGAAGAAACTACCACGGCTCATTCATCGTCAGCTTCTACTTGGCAACGCAAACAACGGCAGATTCCGTCGTATATTCCAAAAGTACTCTCCCAGGAGGAAAAAAAGAAAATCGACAGAGACTTACTTAATTTATTTATTAAAGACATGCAACCGTTTAGTATAGTTGAACATGAAGGATTCCGCAAACTTGCGTTTTATTCCAGGATATGAACCACCGTCGCGGAAAACTATATCTTCGTCATTGATACCAGCTTTATATGTACAAAAAAGGAATGAATGCATATCAATGGTCCAAAATGAAGCCGAATCAGTGTGTATAACCACCGATTGCTGGACTTCTTCACTAAATGAAAGTTTCATTGCCGTGACGGCCCACTACATAACCAAATATTTCGATTCAAGATCGATTTTATTGGAATGCAGAAGTTTTCCTGGCAATCATACAAGTCATAATTTAGCCGAGGAATTGCGAGTTATAACCAAAGAATGGAATTTATCCAACAAAATACTTTTTGCAGTGTCTGATAATGCAAGCAATATATGCAACGCTATTCAAATTGAGCTTAAGTGAAAACATTACGGTTGTTTTGCGCACAGCCTTAATTTAATAGTCCAAGATGCTCTTCTGCTCGTACAGGGTACCATAGAAAAAGTGAAGAAAGTTGTGGCACACATTAAAGGAAGCACTCAAGCATGCGAGAAGCTTCTCAATTGTGAATTAAACCATTTAGGAGTAAAGGATCCGAAACATTTGTCTCAAGATGTACCAACACGATGGAACTCGACATATTATATGTTGAGGCGCCTAGTAGAGGTGGCTGAAGCCGTCAAAGCCACAATGGCGGTTATTAGTCGCGATTGGCCTATCATACCAGAAGAAGAATGGCAGTTAATTGGCAAATTAGTTCAGATCTTTTCACCCTTTGAAGAACCGACTAATACTATTAGTGGTGATAAATACTTAACCGGTGGACTAGCAAATTCCTTGCTAATTGTCTGGTTGACGTCTGCAACGATTTTCTCCGGAATGAAGAATTCTTCGACGGTGTTACACAGGATATCCTTCTCAAACTTAAGAGTGGATTGGAAAAAAGGTTTTATAATATAGAAAATAGTAAAACGCTTGGATTGTAAACTTTACTAGATCCGAGGTTCAAATTGGTGGTTTTCAAAAATGATATTAATAAAGTATCAATTAAAAAATACTGTCAAGATCTCATGGTACAAATAATAAAACAAAATTTACCGAGCACGAAGTATTAGAAAGTAATGTAGTAGAAAATACAGCAGCAAAAAGCGTTTTCAATAAATTGGATAAAATGCTAAAAGAGACACGCACTCCTGGTACACCTGTGTCGAAGGCGATACGAGAATTACAACTTCATTTAGACGACGAAATATTACCAAGACAAATAAATGGTAAATGGAATGACCCGACTGAATGGTGGAAACAACTATCCAGTTTTGGCTACAATTTATCGCACGAAGTGTAATTAATATTGTCATCACATCTGTTTGCCGTTACGTCGTGCACGACTTTCGTCAAAAAAATTACAGATGCTGTTAGCATCTGTAATTTCTGAATAATAATTTAAAATAAATATTTTTTCTAGTAACATTTTCTTTAGATTTAAACATCGAGCAGTTACATGCTTAAAATTTTTATTTAAGAAATAAATACTTTTTTCTTATTTGAGTAGGCACCTAATAATTTTGTCAACATTTCATATTTTTAGTTACTATGCCGAAAAGTTTCGATTACATTTTCAAGTCATGATTCATGAATCGAAGAGACACACCCTAAAGACGCATCTGTCGTAATTCGTATCGCATCGCATCCTGTGATACTATAATACTGATATTCACTTGACATCGGATGCCATTTATCTGATATCGATGCGCATCGATATCACAAATATCTAAAAACGCCCATCTCTAGACGGAACATAATAAGCCGTGCGTTTTACTTAACATTACCTGCGTGTGTAATGTGATAGATTATGATATTGACATTGGTGCAATAAGAGACGCATTACGAGCAAATGTGTTATAAAATTCGTTACAGAATGCCATTAAAACGTCAAATCCTTAAGCATAATGTCAGGTTTCACATGTGTTAGTCCATTTCATTGCCACTCTTGCCTAGTAGCGCTGGCGTCGATTCTCACTTGACTATAGAATGCAAATGATAAATTCCGATACAGATCCGCGCGTGAAAATTTTGCGAGTCTTTACAGAATATTACTTAGTACAAGCGTTATTTCATCGTTGATTAAATTCTTGGATTTAAACTCTGCGTTTTAATTTTGCGTTTCAATCTACGGCACTATTGCCGCAAAGCTTTTAATTTTCTAAGACGTTGTGAAGTTATTTGCGATTGTTTGGCAATAATTCTTCCTTTTTTCGAGGTGTGTCATAAAAGCGCGGCTCAGTAAATGGTTCAAAAGGAACAGATAAAGTGAATGAATATCTTGATATTGATCGCAGATCCAAAGAAGGTTCAAGGTTTCTTGAAACACGTCGTAGTTGTCGTTGCGAATGTAGTGTTGGCTTTCTGGCTAACTTTCAAGACTCTTATTATAATATATATATATATATAATGTAGTTAGGAATACAAAGACATAGTACAGAAAGGTGTTGTTAATGCTAACAATGTAGTATAATTAATTTTTAACCAATTTACTGGTTAACATAACTTTTGTAAAGAAGTAGAATAATTTTTAACTATGGTCGAAACAGTGTCTCTGCAAAGCGTTTTTCTTTTCTTGTTATCCAAACACAATTCGGTTCAAAAAGTTTTGAGCAAAGCCGAGAATATTTTGAAGGCGTCCAAATTTTCCTCTGTATAGCTTTCACCCAAACCTCTTAATTTTTAATCCACCAGAAACCTTTACATAATAGTAAAATATAATATTGAAATAGAATAGAAGTAATAAGTGTCAATCCAAAATGCATTACTAACAATCTTTGTAATCTTCAGTCTAGATTGATTAGAGGAAATATAAACTGTTTTAAAGGCTAAAAAGTGAACAAAATATAACCCGAATAAAAAATCCTGCTCACTAGTTTCAACAATAAAATTACTACGAGCTAAAAGTAATGCGTTGGTTCGATATTAGAAACCAAGTGGCCGAGTTCTTGTTGAAAAACGTGGCACTCAGGGAAACGTGTACGTTGCGCTGACTCGACATCACGGGCTGTTACGATGTTAATACTTTAATTAAAGGAACGGTAAGTAAACTCTGATTAACTTGAATTAAACAAGTACTCTGACATCCTGGAACTGTATCAGAAACCTAAAAAATCTATGGGCCCGTGTTTTAAAATATTTTAGGTAATTAAATCATAAAAAAAAAATTATTGGCAGTTTCTTTACATTTGCTAATAGCTAGGTAGTAAATATTAACTGAGCTATTCAGGACTGACTTTACGTTTGTTAGTTTTTTGTGAAATTTCAAATTCCAGGAGTTGTTGGTGCATAGATGGTTTCTTTGTCACCATGATACGACCCAAAGAAAATGAAGAACGGTATTATTGTTGTAAAGGTAACCATGCAAGAAATGTTCAAGTATAAGGTACACCTTTAACTCATTTTCATATATTTGTTACCTTTTTAAAACTTGTCATGATTCATGAACATATATAAAACGTAAAATTAAATTAACAGACTGGAAATATATTTTTTGTCGATGATAGCTTCATTTTCAATAATAGTGAGCTAAAAATCACTTAACGCAATTGACCAACTCTGAAGAAGTTAGGTTTTTATTGGGTAATTTTTGAATTATACCTAATAAATTATTTGACAGTGGAAAGGCAAAGTCGTCTATACGCCACTTTGGTGCTGCTTAAAAATTAACATTGAATAAAAACTGAAATTAAGTACATTTTTAAGCAACACCAAAGTGACGTATAAGCCGCTTCAAAGAATCGTTAATTGGATTACAGGTCATTCTGGATATGCACAACGCCCGTTTACGATCCACAATTCTGGGTGCTGAAGAAAACTCTCCGGAAGGGCACTATAATAAGCTTCATGCCACAGCCCGTAATACAGTGGTACAGCGTAATACTTTCTCCGTATTAAAAGGCCGATTTAGGTGCCTCTTAGTACACCGGGTGTTGCACTACCATCCTGACATGGTTGCAAAAAAATTTATAGCATATCGTGTATAACATAACATTTGCAATCGTGCAGGGTGGCTTATTAGCTGTTCAAATGTCACAAGCCGAAATTGATGGAGAGCAAGAATTCATCAATAATGTGCAAAGCAGACTGCCAGTGGATCAACCCTCACAAATAGACCTAAAAGCAGGGCGTTTGGCAAGAGACCGCTAGCGAATTGTAGCGCTACAGGTTCTGTTTTTTTTTTGATTGATTCACCTGTCACTAGGATGAATAATAGCTCCATACTCCAAAGCCGGCTTATATATGCCTTCCAGGATATACTAAATGTAAACTTATCAGGGTTCATAGAAGACACAATGAGATTAGGAAGAAAGGGAGACCGAAGACCATTGTTAATCGAATTGTTAAGCAACAATGTAACCAAACAAATCCTCGGAAACCGCCACCACTTCAAAAACTCAGGACTAGCCATTATTGAATATCTCGACCGCGACACTATGCGAAGAAGAAATTCACAGAGGAAAATGTTAATCAAAGCGAGGCAAAATGGAAACTATGCAATAATTAGGAATAATGAACATTTTATTAAAGGAATGGAATTTCAAGACTTTGATGTAATGACTGAATCAAACAATATAAACAGAAGTGACGTAACAAACGACAGTGTTAACAACACAAACATAGAAGACTCAAACGCCAATAGACATTCATTAGTCAAAACTCTAGTTTTCGTGCCTATCAGAAGTATAATTAATAAAATTCACCTAATAGAGCAAATTACACAAGATGATAGCTGTATCAAAATGCTATGTTTGACTGAGACATGGATAACAAAGAAAAAACGGGATTTACTACGATTGGATGGTTTTGAAGTAGCTTTATCATTTTATAGAAAACACCACGATTGCGGTGGTGTGTGCATACTCCTCGAAGTAAACATTGAATTTGTTGAAAGACAGGATATTTTATTACTTATTACCGAATTTATATTTGAAATATGTGCCGTAGAATTTCCAAAATTTAATTTAATTGTTATTACTCTATTCTGGCCTCAGAAAAGTAGAATTCCAGATATATTTTTTGAATCTCTCAAAAAGCTTTTGCATATATTAGACATGAAATATAATAAATATAAATAATTGTTGGTGGAGATTTTAATATAAATGTATTGGAAAAAAATAAAATATCGCAAACATTATGGTATCTATTTAAAAGTTACAATTTTTCGCTATTAATCACAGAAGCAACTAGAACAACCACTAAGACATCCACTTGCCTAGATTTACTGTTTACAAATTTTAAAAACAACATAACCTCTGCTGTATAATACATGGGTTTATCTGACCACAAAGCAGTGACTGCGATATTGGATTTTAAAAAAATAATGTAATGAAAGGAAATGCTGGTATATAAGAAAAATAATATTTAATGAAAAAAAAATATACTCCAATTTAAAAAAATGCTAACAGTAATCAACTGGAATGAAATTTTATCAAAAAATAATAATGTTAATGAAAACTATAATAACTTTATAAAGACGATTATTTCTTTGTTGAATAAATGTATGCCCAAAAAGATTAAACTGAAAAATAAAAACACTAAACCATGGTTGACTACCGGCATTAACAGATCTTGCAAACATAAACGCCTTTTAAAAATATTACTTTCTCAAACTGATAGTCCCATTTTGGACGCATACTACAAAAAATATGAAAAATTGCTTAAAAGAGTGGTTATAAAATCGAAACGTAACAATAATATAAAAAAAAACTCAACAAATGTCAATAAAACTATTTGGGAGATAGTTAAGGAATGTACGAACAAATTAACCCAGCCCAGAGGCCCAGCTTGATAAACTTGAGTGACTTCAGAATTTCTGTATACGATTCATATTTGGCCTGCGAAAATATGATCATGTTTCTCAATTTCGTTCAGAGCTCAAGTGGCTGCCTATTCGCTTTCGCCAGAATACTCATATCCTTATTCTTCTCCTTAACGTACTGTTTAATCCTTTGACCCCGCGCTATCTTAAGGAATGTTTTAACTTCCTTCACACCCTCTAACACATTGTCCCTAAGGTCATCAGAAAATTTTGCTCTTATTACACCTGTGCACGGAACAACTTTTTATGGCCGCTCATTCGCAGTGCAAGCTGTTCGCCTATGGAATTCGCTTCCAGTTTCCATTAGACGTGCAGAATCTCTGCACAGATTCAAAAACCTTCTAAGATCTCACTATCTGTCCTTATAGCTCCTCTATTGTATTTATTTCATCTCACCGAATTAGACTTATATATGGTACATATGTCTTTTTTAGTATGTATATATATATATATATATATATATGTATGTATTTACCTATGTATGTATGAGTGTATGTATGTATATCTATGTATTTATATGTGTTTATTTGTTTTATATACTCGGTTTGTCCATAGATTTTCTCGCGTATTATTGAAGTTAATTACACCGCCGTCTTTCCAGCTTCTTTCTTGTCCTCTCCATCCCAAGGTTGTCTGGAAGAGATCGCTCTTAGCGATAAGACCGCCCATTTTTACACTGTAAGCAGCCATTATGTATGTTTTATATATATATATATTATTTTGTGGTGTAAAATAAAGAGTTTTTATTTTATTTTTTATTATTATTAACAAAGAAAAATTAAATATAAATGGTACAAATATAGAAGACCCTAACATTATTGCAAATACCTTTAATGAATACTTTGTTTCTGTAGGAAAAGACATAGCTTCTAGTAACAAAATCATAGATCCCTCTGGCCGACCCGCAATAAACGCTGTAGAGAGTTCTATGTATCTTTATCCCCTTGTGCTA